GTCCGAGGTGCTGGTCATGCAGTCTGAGTACCGGTTGCACCCATACACCGTGCCCCGGGATGTACGGATCATGGTGCACCCACACGTGACAGCGGTCAGTGAGCAGCCCAGGGCCATGGAGGGGGTGGTGAAGATGCCACCTGTCAGCAAGGCCCCTCAGCAAGCTGGGAAAGAAGCTGCCAAGACTCCTGAGGCTAAAGCCGCCCCTGCCCCTGCCCCTGCCCCCACCCCCGCCCCTGCCCCACCCCCTATCCCCACTCCTGCCCCGCCCCCGCCCCCTCCCAGCGAGGCCCGAATTCTCACCGTTACCCCCAGCAACCAGCTCCAGGGGCTGCCTCTGACGCCCCCCGTGGTGGTGACTCATGGGGTGCAGATTGTGCACTCCAGTGGGGAGCTGTTTCAAGAGTACAGATATGGAGACATCCGCACCTATCACGCCCCAGCACAGCTCACGCCCACCCAGTTTCCTGCTGCTTCCGTTGGCCTGCCCTCCCGGACCAAGACTCCTGCCCAGGTGAGGTGGGGCACGTGCTTGGGGGGCTCCTCCTATCGCTTAAACGTGTTGATAATGTCTTGGGGTTTAAAGAAGAGGCATGAGGGCAAAAGGGTCAGATCACACCATGGAGGGCTCCAGCTGGGGGCAAGCTCAGTGTGCCACGTGTGTGCAGTGGCTTCTGCCTGCAGTGGGGCAGAAGGTAGTGGACCTTCTCAGCCCGCACCTTCCGGGGCGCGCTGGCCCTGCGTTGGGCCCGGGGTCTGTGTATAGCAGACTGACTCTTGCTCTGCCTTCTTTCCCACCCTAGGGGCCTCCTGAAGGTGAGCCCTTGCAGCCCATTCAGCCTGCTCAACCCGCACCACCCACTGCACCCGTGCCGCCCTGCAATCCCCAGCTCAGCCAGCCTGGCCAGCCGCCGACTAGCAAGATGCCCCAGGTTTCCCAAGAGGCAAAGGGGACTCAGACAGGCGGCATTGAGCAGCCCCGCCTCCCAGCTGGAGCTGCAAACAGGCCGCCTGAACCCCTCACCCCCCAGGTTCAGAGGGCACAAGTGGAAGGCGGCCAGACTTCCTACCCCTCGCCCGTGTCGGTCTCCATGAAGCCGGACCTCCCAGCCCCCCTGCCCGCGCAGGCCGCTCCAAAGCAGCCGTTGTTTGTTCCTACAACTTCAGGCCCCAGCACCCCGCCAGGGCTGGCTCTGCCGCACGCTGAAGTCCAGCCGGCCCCCAAGCCAGATTCCTCTCCACACTTGACTTCCCAGAGATCCGTGGATATGGTCCAGCTTCTGAAGGTAAGCGTGCGTGAGGGCCGGCCCGTCTCCCAAGCTGTGTTCCGTAGTCAGTGTCCTAAGATCGCGCGGTGGACCTAGGCCAGCAAGCTGCTGCTGGGGCCGTAGGCAGCCCCCAGCGCCTCAGCCACGAGCTTGCATCTGCTTTGTCTTCTGTGAGCAGAAGTACCCCATCGTGTGGCAGGGCCTGCTGGCTCTCAAGAATGACACAGCTGCCGTGCAGCTCCACTTCGTCTCTGGCAACAACGTCCTGGCTCACCGGTCCCTGCCCCTCTCCGAAGGTGGCCCTCCGCTGAGGATCGCACAGAGGATGCGGCTGGAGGCCTCTCAGCTAGAAGGAGTGGCCCGAAGGATGACGGTGAGAACTTCCTGGGGCCCAGATGAGCCCTGCCCATCATTGGGGAAGGCAGAGTTGTCCCTTGCCTGCCTCTTGGTTTGGGAGGGTTTTTTTTTGTTTTTTTTTTTTTGGTTTTTTGGAGGGAGGTGGTACTGGGTATCAAACTCATGTCCTCACACTTGCCAGGCAGGCACTTATGCCACTGAGCTATATCCGTGGCCCATGGGGACAGTTTTTGAAGTGGCACCTTGTCTTACTACTAGAGTGTAAAATACCCCTACACCCCAAAACAAGGCTTTTTTTTCTTTTAACAAATTCACCTCAGAGATGGGAGTCTTAATGGACGTAGCACCCTGACTTAGACACAGCTGCTGTTTGGTTAGGAGGCCCCTGACCGCTGTCTTCTCTGCCCAGGTGGAGACAGATTACTGTCTGCTGCTGGCCCTGCCCTGTGGACGTGACCAAGAAGATGTGGTAAGCCAGACAGAGTCCCTTAAGGCTGCCTTCATCACGTACCTGCAGGCCAAGCAGGCGGCAGGGATCATCAACGTTCCCAACCCTGGCTCCAATCAGGTTGGTCTAGCACAGCGTCATGTCCCTTGTCCTCCCTGACCCAGGAGGGGCTGGTCTGTGGCAGGTGGAAGTCACCAGCATGAGCTAGGGTGTGCGGCAGTCCTGGAGGAGGTGGGCAGAGGGCATTTTGGATAGAGGCAGCCGGCACCGCGTGGGAGGGGCCCGGGGAGCCCAGGGGCTGAGTCCTGGCTGCGGGACATCACCTGGGCTGGTGAGGCCGGTCCAGGGCGTCGGAAGCATGCTGGAGGCGGTGTGCCGAAGATAGACGGTCCCTCTCTCTCTCTCTCTCTCTCTCTCCCCCTCTCTCCCTCTCTCCCTCTCTCTCTCTCCCTCCCTCCCCCCCCCCCCTGTTGTCTTTTCCAGCCCGCCTATGTGCTGCAGATCTTCCCACCTTGCGAGTTCTCTGAGAGTCACCTGTCCCGCCTGGCCCCGGACCTTCTTGCCAGTGTCTCCAACATCTCTCCCCACCTCATGATTGTCATTGCCTCTGTGTGAGCCACTGGACTGTCACCACCTCAGGGCATTCCCCCCCCCCCCCAGGGTCTACCGGAAAAAAAAATGAACACCAGACTATCCAGTCAGGCAGCGAGCGGGGCAGCTGCACATGGGACAGACCCCACTGGCGGACGCTGCCGCCTCACCCGCCCAGCTCCCAGGGTCACACCTCCCTGCGTGGCGGTGCTGCTTCCTTGTATGTTTACATGACACTGTCGCCCAGGGCGTGCCACTGACTGAGGGACTTACAGACACCTTGGGGGCTGGGCTTCTCTCTTTCGGGAGAAAAGGAATAGGGCAGTGGAATTTCTGTTTTTAAGAAACAAGAAAACAGGACTGCCTTTGCACTAAATTAGTGACTTGGACTTTTGCACAGTGAAGACAGGCTATGACACTCTGACAGACGTCTTGGTGTGTGTGAACACGTCACGGACGCTAATGTAGGACTCGGAACTTCTGCTGAAACCTTGGGGTCAAGGAACATTTCATTGGGTTTTTTTGCCCCGCCGCCTCTTTTTTCCCTTGCTCATTGGATGTCACCTTTAACTCCTGCTGCCACCACCTCTGTCTCACCAGGATGTACAGTTTACAGTGGAACAGGAGCAAACATGATTTTCTTTCTTGGTGGGATATGCAGAACTTGGGATGTGTGTATATATAAATATATAATATATATAAATATATATAATACTGACTTAAAATTAAATTTCCCCGACATACATTTTTTTTAATCTGTGCCAAAAATGTGTTTTCAGAGAAAATCTTATTTTCATACTCAGACTTTGTATCGTCACTCATTTGTATCAGTGCGCTTCAGGACAGCACGGGCACTGCCCGCGGTGTGGAAGTGTCACTCGGCACCTGTACAAAGAGACTGGCCAGCCCTGTCCTGTGCCCAGACCTCTCCAAACTTCCTAACACTTATTAATTTATGAAACTGTTTTTCTCAGCGCAGTTTTGTTTTGTGTGTCCATTGGATTACAAACTTTATTAAAAAATACAAAACACCTGAAGTGTTAATGTGATTGCTGCTGGGGGCGCAGGGGGCACTGGCTCAGGGGAACAGCTCAGGCTCCGCACACCTGCAAGGACTATAAATCGGCATTTCCTTTGCGGGGCATTTCACCTTGTACAGAAGAGTCTTTGGTGAGGGACAAACTTTCTCCAGGTTCTGGCTGGTGTGTGCAGGTCAGTGTGAAGTGTCAAGGTCCTGCCTGGCTCCAGGTGACTGGACGGCACTCCAGCCCTGACACAGGAGGAGATGCTCCTTTGCGGAAGTGTTTCCCCGCCCATGCACAGAAGCCCTGTGCTTGGGACGCACCTGGACCCCACATGCCAGGCTCGAGCTTGGTACCCACTTCAGCCCATTAATGTCTCACCCAGGCCCAGGTCCTGCTCTTACTGCTTCCAGCCCCCAGTATGGTGCCAGTGGCTCTTGCAAAGCTGGGAGCCAGAGGCTGGCCTGCTGGTGCTCCTTGTGTTTCAGTAGGCCATGCACCTGCTGCCTGGCAGGGGTGCAGAAGGGGTGCTCAGGCTCCTCGCACCTGGAAGGACTATAAATTATTTGGCACTTCTCTCGCAGTATCAGTGGGGCTCCTACAAATAAGCCTCCCAGCGTATCCAAGCGCACAGGATGCAGTAGTGTCACCTGCGAGGAGGGGCTGGCTGTGCGCAGCAGGCTGTCAGTGTGGGTAGACAGCCTGCTTTTGCCCTGCCCCTCCTGCCATAGTGCCCAGTAGCTCCCGCCGCCCCTCTGGCCAGCCTGGAGCTGGAGACAGAGTCAGGGACATCAGTATTTCCCCAAGGACAGCTCTGGCAGGGTCACTGTGCAGCCAGTGCAGGGCCCTCTTGCTTCTGCGGGCTCAGAGGCACCCGGGGGCCTGGCCTGCTCCTTTTCGTGCCCCCACGCTCCCAGGAAAGCACCCTTGAGCCAGACCCGCAGGCAGCCAAACAGGGCAAAGCTACTGAGGTCTCTGGCCGGGCTTAGTTTGGCTGAGGAGCTGGTTCCGTCCGGGGTACCTGGCTCTTGGGGAGCAGTATGGGCCTTCCCACTGCCCACCCCCGCCACGCAGAGGTGAACAGGGACACTTGACAGTGCTCAATGGCCAGAACATTCAGGCCTGGGCTGGGGAACTGCAGCCTCTGCCCACGTGCTGCACTGCCCCACTTAGGACAGTAGGCCTGGGGACAGACACACCTGCAGCAGGGATGGCAGGACTTCCCAGGAAGGCTGGTCCTGGCCAGTGGGGCACTTGTATCACAGCTGTAGCTGCCAGCCCTCCCACTCCCCCAACAGGGACCTATAGGCGGCATTAGAAAATAATCAAATTTATTCTCTAGGTAATGGGGCCGCCCTGCTCAGTTCTAGGGTGCATCCACCCTTAAATAAAAGTCAACAGAAGGCCTCCGGTCACTCGGCAGGCGGTGCACACTCGGGAGCGGCCGGTGGGGTCTCTGCTGGCACAGGGACGCCCTCAGCCCCATCTCGAGGGCGGAAGACAAGCTCGCCGGCCTGCAGCACCTGCCCGGCTGGCCACGTGCTGCCCGGCCCATACTGCTGGTAGAAGTCGGCGTCCGTCTGAAACATGACCAGAGCCTGGGCTGTGTGGATCCGAACGTGCTGCGCCAGACTGTTGGCATCCAGGAACTTGTCCCCACAGGAGTCACAGGCATAGAGTATGTGGGTGTTGGGGTCTGTGGAGGGGGACTGCGGTCAGGCTGCGGAGGCCCGGGGCACCAGTGCCCACACCCAGCCGGCCCTCTCACCTTCTTCCTGCACTTGCTTCACGGCTTTGCTGATCTCAGCTTTCAGCACTTCTGTCTCATCGGCTGTCACTGCTGCCCCCACGGGAACCACTGTGGACAGAGGCAGCAGGGCCTCAGGCGAAGGCCGCAGTAACCACCCTCCCATGCCAGTCCGGGGTGCGCTACCGCTACTGCAGCTGCCCTCTGCTGCCCAGCACCCGCACCTGTGAGCTGAGTGACGGCTGTGGCTGCCAGTGCCTCTGTGGCCAGCGTGACCATGTCATCGACAGTGACCACGCTGACCTCGCCACCCTCCTCTGGCTCCAGGATCTTGATGCCTGCCTTGCCCTGGTGCACGGTCTTCACGTGGGAGCGCAGGTTGTCCACCCGGTTGAAGCCGCGCCCACACTTGTCACACAGGTAGGGCTTCTCTCCTGGTGGGGAGGCAAGGTTCGCGCCTGCCTCGGGGGAGGGTGGCTGGGGGGGCCTGGGAGGCCCTCCAGGCCTGTTTCCCCAGCAGCCCTGTTTTCTCCAGCAGGAAGTGACAGGCGCCTCTGGAGGCTCTAAGGAAAGGGTCTAACCTCCCCTGCTCGAGGCCGCGCTCACCCGTGTGGATGATGATGTGCTTGGACAGGTCGCCCACGTTCACGAAGGCCTTGCTGCACACGCTGCACTTGTGCGGCCGGATGTTGTCGTGGTGGCGGATGTGATTGGCCAGCTGGCTGGACTGGACGAACCTAGCGGCGCAGGGAGGGAGTCACGGTTAGGGCCGAAGGGCGCCGGAGCGCAGGGCGGGGGCACCCCGAGCCCGCCGCACCTCTTGCCGCAGCGCTCGCAGACGTAGGGCTTCTCCCCGGTGTGCTGGCGCACGTGGGCTATGAGCGAGCTGGCCTGCGTGAAGGCCTTGCCGCACATCACACACTGGCACGGCTTCTCGCCTGCGGAGGGCGGAGGCGGAGGCTGAGCCTGAGCCTGAGCCTGAGCGCGCGGCTCCGCCCTGCCCCGCCTGCGGCCGGCCGCCCGCCCGCCACCCACCCGTGTGGATCCGGACGTGCCGCTGCAGGGCGCCGGGGTCTGCAAACTGCCGCTGGCAGTGCATGCACACGTAGGGCTTCTCCCCGCTGTGGATCCGCAGGTGCCGCTTGAGGTTCCCTGTGGAGACGGGGACGCCCGTGGGTTAGGGCCGAGGCCGGCGGGGAGGTGGCAGGCGGGCGGCAGGGTGGGCGGCGGGCGGGGTGGCAGGCGGGCGGGGAGGCGGGCGCCTACCTGAGGTGGTGAACTGCTTCCCGCACTCGCGGCACTTGAGGGGCCCGTCGGCGATGTGGATCTTCAGGTGCGCCTTCAGGTTCCCCACCTGCGCCGGGCAGCGGTCAGGGGGCAGCACAGCCGGGCCAGCGGGAGGGGCTGGGCACCTGGCAGGCCACCACTCCCGGCTGGCCCCTGCGGGCCGCCCCGTGGCCCCCGCGGTTCACCTGATTGAACTTCTTGTCACAGTGAGGGCACTTGTGCTCCTTGTTGGTGTCGTGCGTCTCCAGGTGGCGCATCTTGGACGTGGGGTCGGAGAAGGAGCGGCCGCAGTAGTCGCACTGGTAGGGCTTCTCGCCGCTGTGCACCAGCTGGTGGCGCTTGAGGTTGCCCGAGGTGGTGAAGAGCTTGCCGCAGTCCTCGCAGCGGTAGCGCGCCTCGCCCGAGTGCCGCTTCTTGTGCAGGTTGAGCAGGCTGATGAGCCGGTAGCTCTTGCCGCACTCCTCGCAGCCGTAGGGCTTCAGCGGGCTGCGGGGACAGGGTGGTGGGCAGGCGGGCGGGCACCGCGGGGCGGGCGGGCACCGTGGGGCGGGCGCTACCTGTGCGTCTTCTCGTGCGCCTTGCACGCGGCGGGGTCGGAGAAGGCCTTGCTGCACTCGCGGCACGAGAAGGGCTTCTCGCCGGTGTGGATGCGGATGTGGCGCTTGAAGTTGCCCGTGTGCGTGAACTCCTTGCCGCAGTCCTGCGGCACAGCGGGACGGGACGGGCGTGAGCGGGCTGGGGCCCGGCCGGCGGGAGGGCGGCCCCACCTGCGCCCCGCACCTCGCACTTGTGGATGACAGAGCCGTACGCCTTGGACTCAGTGCGGTCCCCGTAGGTGCCCGAGCGTAGGCTCCGGGCCTCTGCACCGAGCTCCTGCCCTGAGTCCGTGCCCACCGACTCCTCAGTTTCCTCGGGGGCCTCCCCGTTCTCCAGCCGAGCGCCCTCCTCCTTGGCCTCGGCAGGCTCCGAGTCCTCCTCCTCGGGCTCCTCTTCCCCTTTGCTGGCAGGCTCCACCTCCATTTCTGCAAGGGGCCGGCAGCACTGAGGCACCTGGGGCGGGCACTCTGCCGCTCAGGGTTCAGGCCCCACACCCCTTGCTCTGCTGGGCACCTGGCAGGGCTCCAGCACTGTCTGGGCATGATAGGGAGGCAGTCCCAAGCACCGCCGGGGAAGGCACCAGGCTCTGTGACCTGGGTGTCTGCTATCTGGAAGCGACAGGTATGGCCTCGGTCAGCTGCAGATGGGCATTTCAAGCCAACAAGCACTGGGAGTGCTGTGAGCAGCAAGGCACGGCCTGCGTCACGGTGCTCCTGGACTCTCCACCAGGATGCGCAGCTCAGGTTCAAGGAGGAAAAAGCTGACACGGATGGTGGGTGGCTCCAGGTGGGGCTGGCCAGCGCAGGAGGGGAGGTGGAGTGGGCGGCAGACAGCAGGCCCCAGGAGGGGATGCATCCCAGGGCCGGGGGTACCTTGCTCTGAGTTCTCCGACAAGGCAGCCTCGGCTTCTGCTGCGGCCATGCCACTCGCGGGGTCCGGCTTAAGCTCCACAGGCAGGGGTTCGCGGGGGGCGTCAGCCCTCTCTGTCTGCTCTGCGCCTGAGGCGGGAGGGTGAGCATGGGAGGCGGGATTGGAACCCTCTGTGCAGGGCTGATGGCACTCCTAGACCAGGCCCCTGGTGGTATCTGGAAGAGACTCCTCAGAACAAACCCCAGGGAGGCCCATGGGTGGGCGCTTGGGTCGTGTACCTCCCTAGTGCAAGCCCCTTACCAGTGGCACTGGGGCCCAGGGTGCTGGCAGGTGACAAGACAGACCTCTGACTTGCAGCTGCCCACCTCCTCCTCCAGGCAGCCAGTCTGTTCCCAGATCATAACTCACCACTGGCCGTGCTCTGGGCCTGGCCACCCCGCTCCTCTTTGAGCTCCCCGCCTGGGCCTGGGGGTGCACCACTTCCAGCTTGGTCCAGCCTGCTCAGCGTGGTGGCAGCAGCCTTTTCTCTGGCTCTCCTGTCACCTCCTGAAGGTGGAACATGTGAGAGCATCCATTTCCCATGAACAGCCTACCATCTGCCTGTGGTCAGGTGGCCTAGAACCTTCTTCTGGTTCTGCTGGGTTCCCCTGGGGATATCTATGCAAAGAGTGGTGGCTGGTCTGTTTGCTGGAGCCCTGGCAGGGCACCTGGCCTCTGGGGCCTGGGTATTTGCTATCTGGAAGTGGCAGGCGTGTCCCCAAGCCCCAGTTCTAAGTCCAGCGGCCACTGGGAATGCAGCAGTGGCATCTCCTGCCTATGTGGGGCACGCAGGCTGGTCAGAGAGAGAGACTGCACGCGCGCGGTACAGACACTGTCAGAAGTCAGCACTCAGGAAAGACACGGCACTCCGAAGGCATACGGCTAAGCCTGGCCACAGGGAGGAGGAGAATGCCGGGGAGAAGTCAGCTGAGGCAGGGTCAGGAGCAAGCCCCGCCCCACACAAGCCGGGACGCGAGTGCAGCTCCCTGGCCTGTACTGTGCAAAGGTAGCAAAGGGGCTGGCCCCGGGACCTTCCTCAGATGTGACTGCGGCCAGCCTCTACCAGCACTCCCAGGAGAACAGGCGGCATAGGTAGCCCGAAGAGCCAGTGGCAGGGCCCCCCTCAAAAACGGGGTGTGGAGCCACCTGCTCAGAAACAGGTCACCAATAATCCTACCTTCCGCAGGTGGAACCTCAGGATTCTCTCCAGCGCTAGTGACTGGCTCAGCAAGTGATTTGAGAGCGTGGCAGGCTGAGACGATGTCCTGTATCTGGAGGAAGCTGGCCACGGCCAGCACGTCATCCACGTTCTCGGAGCTGAGGCTCAGCTTGGCCGTGTACATGAACTCCAGCACCTGCCCCAAGCCTGCCAAGGACAGGACAACCATCACAGACCCTCAGCTGGGTCCAGCAGCCCAGCAGCCCGCCAGCCCAGCAGCCCCCCTTTTGGCAGCAGGTTCAGACACTCAGCCGAGAGCTTCTGTCGCCATCTCCTGGCAGCCCAGCAGCCAGCCTCTGAAGAGAGGGCCACCAGGTGTGGATGCCATCCTGCAGCCAGGGCAGGGCAAGAACATCTGCCCTGCACACCCTTGGCCACCTGCTGTACTGCATCCCTGGTGATGTTTCAACCCAAAAGCGCAGCACCTCCTCAACGCTCTGTCACCAGCGACCACCAGGACGGTCATCTGACGCCTGTGGGTCTCAGTCTCCACGACTATAAAATGGGAGAACATCCCCTGTCCTGATTTCTCACATGTCACACCATTCTGGGTCAGGAACCCAAATCCAGGACCAGCACACCCTTGGTCCCACTGCAGAGCCCACTGCAGCTGGCCCTGGCCATCCCCATCACTGTCCCCACACTCGTGCTCAGCAGTGGGGCAGTGTCTCCAGGGACCCGACCCATTCCGTCCATACGGACAGGACTTGTCCCATGTTCACCATGGCCTGCAGCGCATGAGTCCCCACTCCCAGAAGGTGGCAGGAACTTGGTATATGCTCAGGACTGAGACTGGCATGGGAGGCCTGCAGGTGCCACCCTGGGAGGGCCTGCATAGCTTGGGGCCACCCACAGCTTCTGGCCTCAGCAAGCTCGCCCTGGCCCCAGAGGGGTACCTGCCGCGTTACTGATGTCCAGGTGCACCACGTCCTTCTGGTCCACGAAGAGCATCTTGAAGTACTCGCTGCACGCTGCCAGCACTGCCTTATGGGCCTTAAAGTCAACACCATCCACCACAAAGGTGCAGTCACACAGAAGCCCCAGCTGCCGCTGCTGGTTCAGCTGCTCCAGGACGTGCTGGCTGTGCTGGGGGAAGTCCATGGCTGCAGAAAGCCAAAGGCCTCTGTCGGCACAGCGAAGGCAGCCAGCCCAGCTCGCCTGGCAGCCCCAGACTCCCGCAGGAGGGAGCAGCAGAGACAGGGACAGTTAAAACAGTGGAGACGCATTTTGGCTCCTGAAGGGCGGAGAACTCCAGGCACCCGCCGCAAGCCGGGCTGGACCAGCAGCTCCTAGGTGCCTGGGTGTGCTGCCAGGGAAGCCCTGAACCAAAAGGCAACAAGGCACTGACCTGGCCATCGCTGTCTCTTGCCAGGTGATGACAATAAAGAGTCAAAAAAGGAAACAAACACAAAACACTGCTTGCTGTCCTCATTCCAACAAAGGAACGAAGACATGGTCAGTCCATCCCCCTCCAAAAAAATCACATCTGAGAGTAAAGGACAGGTGTTCAATAGGACACGTTCAGCTTTAAGAAGCTCTATTTTGTTCATATTTTTCTTGCCCCATCACGAACTGATGCAGTGTTTGTTCAGGGACATGACAAGGTGGCTCTTTCATCAGTGGGTGTTTCAGGACCTGGCCCCTCTCCCACGGCACCCACAGGCCCTGGGCAGTTCTCTGTGCCTACTAAATTGGGTCCTCCAGGACGCAGAGCCCCTCTGACTCACAGGAATCCCCCACCTCTGGAAACCCTGTCCTGGTGGCTTTTTCTGGATAAGCAAGAACTCCGATCCTGATCCCAAGAGCTGCTGACTAGCCACTGTCTCCAAGCCAAGGGCCTGAACACCCCACAGGCACCGGGAGTATACAGGTGCCCAGGACAGCTCCCTGGCACGGCCCTGCAGTACCACCAGTTGCACTGGCCAGGGCTAAACAAGAATCACAGCCCCCCATGCCCAGCACCACTTCAGATCTGTCTGAGGATCAGTAGTTTCCTAGAGAAAGCAAGCAGGCCTTCTTTTCTAGAAAGAATCAGTCTCAGAATGTTTTAAAAGAAAAACCAGCACCCTCTTGTGAGGCAACACTGCACAGATGAGCACGGCGGGTCAGCCCAGTGGTGGTTCTCTGCCAGCTGCTCCAGAAATGGGTTTGGACTCCTCTCTCCTTGAGGCCGGAGTGGCCCAGGCCGTCTCTGGGAGGCAACAGCCACGGGCTCTCTGTCACCAGGCTTCAGTAAGTAGCTCTGGCTGCTCCATGACATCAGCCTCCTGGGCTGAGTCACTGGCACTGCAGCTGGGAGCCCCCGTGACCATGTATGGCTGCTGTCAAATGAGCTGTGGTGAGAGCCACGCCTCGCGGGCCAGCACAGGTCCACCCGCTCCGTGGCAGCTCGAAAGTGAGGGGCATGGCTGGGCATGGAAGGACAGGTCTGTAATCCCCGTAGCTTGTGAGGCTGAAGCAGGACAGTCACAAGGTAGAACCCAGCCTGTAATATTCAGCAAGACCCTGTCTCAAAATAAAAAAGTAAAAAAAGGGATTGGGACACAGTTGGATGCAAAGGCCCTGGTTCGATCCCCAGTACTATGGTAAGTATTCACGGAGCTGGAGAAGGTCACTCAGCAAATAAAGGGCGCCCAGCACTGTAAATAAGCTCCTGAGCCCCGTGTGCCAGCCCTGAGCCATGGGCTCCAGGCCACTGCAGCAGGAGACCAGAGACCCTTCCTTCACTTTCTCCTCCACACGCAGCCCAGGCTGGGCCCTGTCTGGCCACACCACTTCTCACCAACGGGGGACACTGGAGTGCTAAGGCCTCTAACCCTGGAAGGAGCAAGGTCCCACTGGTACCCTGAAGTGCAAGGGAGGATCGTGGCCGTGCTCCTCCTGAGCCTCAGACATACAGCAGAACCTGGGCGCAGTCCTCAGAGTTAAATGCCCTTGCTGGGGTCCTTGAACCTCGGTACTGTCTCAGCAGGGCATATAAGACCAAAGGCAGAAGGCCTGAGCCAAACTGCCCGAGATCTGTCTTCTCTGTGGTAGAAAAGCCATGAACACACAGAAGCGCAGGGAAGCCCCAGCCCCAGCCGCTCCCCCTCTGCACACTGGGGAGCCTCAAGTGAGCTATCTCCGGAGTGCAGAAAGGAGGGGACAGGACGCGAGGGCCACATAAGGCATAACCCTCAGTTAGTGTCAGAGTCTGCAAGTGAGGTCCAGGCCAGCCCCCTCGGTCGGTGGGCCCTGAAAGCTGAGCTGGCAGGGACATCTCTGAAGCTCCTCCTCAGCGCAGTGGCTGAACCCCACTGGTGGGAGCCTGTGTTCTGCCTGGCCAGGAAGAGAACCGTGAGGAGTGATTAGGTGGCAGGGTGGAAGCCTAGGGCACAGCAGTGAGACTACAACAGCCTTTGAAAGGCCACCTGGAGCTCCCAGAGGAGGGCAGCAAACAAAGCCCAGCCAACTGCCCTCCTGGGGCTCACACCCTGGCAAGGGCTACAGGCACTACCACTGTTTTCAGGGGCCTTAAAGGCCCTCAAGACAGGGCAGATGGTACCACCCCCACCACGCACAGGAGAAGCTAGGTGACCCATGCATCACTGTGCACCGGGCCCTCTTCTAAGGTAGGAGCTGAGGTGGCTCCTCCCCAGATGCAGGGGTCAGGAGAAAACCAGAGACCTCTACTTCCTCAAGGAAGTTCCAAGAACAGCTCCCCTCCCCAGGGCATCTGTCCTAGTAAATAGAAAAAGAAAAGAGAGGTCAGGTGTGGCGGCTCATGTCTGTAATCCCCACACTCTGGGAGTGTAAGACAGGAGGCTCTCAAGTTGCCAACCTGGGCAACTCAGTGACATAACAAGACCTTATCTCAAATTTAAAAAATTAATGAAGGTCTAGGGGATGTAGCTAGTGCAAAGGCCCCGCATCCAATCCCCACCCAGTACAGAAAAGCAACACAGAAATGGAAGCGAAAGGAAGGGACAGAGGGAGAAATGGGTGACAGGTGAGGGGAAAGAAAAGCAGCAAGGTTGGGGGAACTAAGGCGGGAGAGGACAGGAAGACCCAGGAAGGGAGAGAAGGAAGAGCAGCCTGTTCCAGGCAACAGACAGGCAGCAGCTCCAAGGGGGCTGGTGCAGGTAGCTGTGGGGGCCGTGCAGGTGCCGAGTGCTAAGTGGGTCACCCACAAAACAGCACTGCCAAGCACCTCCCTCTGATGAGCACCCCAAGCTGCATGCACAGTGAGTGCTGTTGGCCTTGGCTCTTCCCCGGATGCTTCCAAAGGCTCCCCAGGCTGTCTGCAGCCAGCACGGCCACATCTGGAAGGGCAGAGACAGGCAGAGCCTGAGGATGAAGCACAGCCCGGACCTCGGGGATGAGCAGCGGAACCAGAGCAGGGACGGCACAGGCCCTTCCTCACCACAGCTGTGGCCCCTCACCTCCATGAGGACGAACATGGGCACTGGTTAAAGCTAGTTACGGCAAAGACCTCAAAACTAAGCACCACACAGACAGAGACCACAGCCCATCACGCTGAGTCCCAGGTTAGATGCAGAAGGTGAGTCCCAAACGATACCCGGCTTGCCTCATCCTCTGTCCCCCGACCAGCCTTTTCCTCTGATGAGGTCGCAATCTTTCCTGGGACACCTCCAGCAGCCAGTTCTGAATCTGTGATTCATGCCCCACAGCCTGGGGTCTAGGCTGGGATGCTCTCCTATGACCCACAGCCTGGCAGGACCGAGTCTGGGGGCCCCACTGGGAATTCTCTGGGGATGAAGGGTGGCACTTGAGGGACACTGTGGTGCCGTCCAGGCCTGCGAAACAGGCATCCTGCTGTCCAGCTCATCGGATGGGGCAGTTGGGCCTGGACTCTAAAGGCAGTGCAGCAGTCCCTCCCACCCTGCCCAGTACCCTTTGTGGCCACTTGGAGTGGAGGCACAGGGCCCAGTGACAACTCTGGGATTAGAAACCTTTCTCCAGCTGCCCGCTGAGTGCTATCATATGCATGGGAACAAAGCAACTGCCCAGGCAACTTCCAAAACTGAGAACTGGAAATCACTCATGCTTAGGAGGTACACTGTGCAACCGGGGACAGTGAACCAGACAGAAGGACGAAAGGGAGGGGTCACCCGAAATTAGGGCCTCTTCACTGGATGGCGGGGAGGTGCTGCAGGGCTCTCCTGAGCCACTGGCGCATCCTGGTTCTGCACTTGCACACACCTAGAATAGTAAACATTTGTATGAAGACATTTCAAAATCCAACAAAATTTTTAGTAAGTGAGGTACAGAGCCACACTTGATCGAGTCATGGCACAGGGACCAGGCAACTCTCATCAGGGCCATCCTGAGGCCCCAGACCAGCTGGCAGCAGGACACTGCGGGTCAGCAGAGCTAGAAGAGCCACAGCCATGTAGGCAGTAGGACCAGACAGCTGGCAGATCCACCTCATGCATCCTCCAGGCCCACAGACTGCTGGTGAGGAAGCTCTCTCTTGAAGTCATGAGACCCACTGCTTAATTCAACAGGTCTGTCATGATGGCCTGCAATCTCAGCACTCAGGAGGCTGAGGCAAGACAGTAGAGAGTTTCATGCCCAGCAGTGCCACAACACAGTGAGTTCAAGGTCAAGTATGGACTGCACAGCAATATCCTGTCTCCACAACAATAAAAACCAAGATCCTCGTGCCTCTTTTTGCTTTTGCTGCCTTTGCTGTCTTCTATCATCACCATGAAGTTGCCCCTCTGCCATGCCATCCCTCTGCCATGCCATCCTGCCTTGGCACCAGCTGACTATGGACTGAAACCTCCACAAACTGAGCTGAATCAACCTTTCCTTCCTTGACAAAACAAACAAGTTCCTCCTATCACATGCACTTACAGAGTCTCTGCAGACCCTGTCTTTAAATAAATAAATAAAGCAAGCTAAAGACCTTACTTAGCAGATGGTGTCTCCATGCCTTTTATACTGGGTACCTCGGGTGCACTCAGTCACCCCATTCTGTGACTTGACCCTGTTAAGAAGTGTAATAATAACCCATTATTCCTTTCAACGCATCCTAGGAAAGTCCCAGAGCACAATTAGCAGGGAGGGAGGGAGGAAGGGAGGCGAAGGTGGGAGCTGA